AAGACAACGTCAAAAAATTGACGCCATAGCTGCACGTGCGTTGAAAACAAACATGAATTACAAAAATACTGTAAAGGAGGACCTGCTTGCAAGACACAAGATTCCTTGCATGAAAAATACAATCCATGCGCAGCGACCGAAATCGTCCAAGAGAAATATGAATTAAGCAGCTACAGGAAACTTTACAGAATCCGCAAGCACAGACGAACAGGATCTACCTGAATGACTCCAAACGACGAAATTACTTATCGTATAACATCAGGCGATCAGGATATGGCCCAAACATGACTAATGTCTCATACTTTTATTGGCAAGAAAGTTAAACTTTTCTCTCCGTGTATGTGCCTGCGAGTAAGCGCTCTAACATTTTGTCTAGGAACCACGCCATTAATCGATGTATCTCATTCATAAGATGTCGAGCGTTCCGTAACGCCAAGAGTCGATACGAAGGTCGATATGGTATTTGAGAGCGATCACCCAAACTGCAGCACGTAACTATGACAACTGCTTAAACTTAACGAATAAACTGAATCAAACCAAAGATGAGTCATCTCGTATTCACCAAGAGAAACGCAAAAGGAAAGAATTAACGTGAAATGCACATGAATGCTGCCTGCTGCAGTTCGCTAGTAACAGTGAGCAAATATTTTCTCTATCGAGTAACAATCAGCAAAAACGGTACGAAGAAAGTAAGACCCACTGAGCAAACAACCAAACCTGATGATTTTATTTCCGGCTATTAAAGCGATTATTTTGCAATGAATGCACTCCAAATTGCATCAGCTATGTAAAGACAGACAGAAGGTGCGGCCGGGTTTGTAGACAGCGTATCTTTCTAATAAATGAAGCTTCCTTACAAGGATGCTGCATCTGTTAGCCTCCGGTTGCCATAGCCTCGCACCTGACCACTGTTTTTATTCCTGATCAGTTCGCGGCTCTTAAAGGAGACCAAACTCCAAACACTGCAGCGTACGTCGTCCAGGAGGTGATCCAGTATATCGACGATTATCGTTTTGACAAGGTCAGCTTACAAATAACGGTGGTCACGCATACTTGATTACTTGTCTCTCACAAACAGATAATCGGAAGTTAAATGAACTTCATCTTCATCTTCATCTTACATCGCCGCTTCTCCTTTCGGGTCGCGGAGGCAGACGCGCCAGACAGTGCTTCCAACGTTCCCGATCCTG